AGAAAGTTTATTTCATTTGTATAAATTTTGTAATCGTGTCTGAAATTATCTTATATCCATTTTCTATGTTTGTTTAGTGATTATAGCTTTTTCTACATTATGTCTTTGATCCATATTTCTTTAATTTCTTTAAAATACAAAAATAACTTTCTTAATTATAAAATATTTAGATAAGTTTTTAAAAATTTGAAAAAAAAAATAAATCTTAAAATGTGTCCTCCAATGTCTCCCCAGTATCTTGGTCGCATTTATCCAGTGTGTCGATCGATCATGTGTCCGCAACGTGTCCTGAAAAAAAATTTAACAATAAAAAAGTATAGACTCATTTTAGTGTATTTGACAAGTGTTCAAAGCATGTTCGACATCAATACTCTGACCAAAATGCCGTGTTTGTGTTTCCTAGCATGACACAAATAAATATATTGTGCTTACCATTACATATAAGAGTTGTCCAACTTGATATTGTTAGAAAGGTTTTTTGGATACTTACATAGGTGTGATCTGCAACCAATACCATGTAGAAGAATTAACATCCAATTTGTATAGAATGCCTAGAATAAAAACCGAACACACTTTCACACAACTTGAACTCCATTTTTAGCCCATATGATGTTTAACCATCACTCAAATTTATTCAAGTAGACTCAAATTTAACCATTACCATTACTCTTGAACTAGTCAAAATGTGGCTGATGTGTGATGATTATAAATTTAATGACTCAAGCTACTCAATAAGACTAAGAGTTGCAAATACCAGGTCGTCAGCAATTTGTAAAAGGTCCAACCAATAAAAGCAAACTCTGATTATTCATTAGATCACTGATCAAGAGAAGCCCCCCCCCCCCCAAAAAAAAAAAAAAAAACCAAGTAACTCACAACAACAAAGTGACTTAATTTCAAAAAATTTAACTGAGACAAACACAACGAAAGTAAAGTCTTTCCTAAAAAATGATAAATATAAATCCATTTTTCCACTCACAATTTGACACCACAGTGTCTAGTGAACCTAAACCAATAAAATACCTCAAACCATTATTGTTGTTCGCGACCCATAACCAAATTGACAATTCCACAAACCAACCTGCAAAACTTGAAATTTACACACAAGCGAGCGTTCATATTATACAAAAAACAAAACTAGAATTTGGATATATATCAAGTTTAGCAACAATAAGACCGAATAAAATAATGCCACTCCTAATAAAATACTATAATTTGTAGTCATAAACAAAAATGAGTACCTCTTTGGGTAGCACACTGTTGGTTCCATAAAGCTAATACATATGGTGTGTTTGCGCCTATTTTCTCTATGAATGTTTCAATTTTGCTGGTAACATAAACTGTAGGATGAATTCGCAAAAAAAAAAAAAATCTTAAAATAGATATCAGTGGAAAAACAATACCACAACATACACGAATGGATCCAAAAATCGAAAGATAGACTGAGTGTGATGCTTGCAATGGAGAGAGAAAACGCTAAGAGAGATTCAAATTCTAATTTGGAGTCCTAAAATTGTGAAGATTCAAATTGATTACAGATATAAGCAATGCAACTTCAGGTATGAAGTCCCAGAATGCGTACAACCACAAGGAGCAGGGGCGACAAATGTTGAGATGCTGAAAGAATTGAATGCGTGGAGTAACGTATGCTAAGAACGGCTGAAAAGAGAGGGAGAAAAAGGGGAACATCGAGGGTTTTTGAAAAAGGAAAAGAAGATAGAGAAAGTGGTTTATTTGGAGTGTGGGAAGAGGAAGGGGAAGAGGAAGATGAAGATGAAGATGAAGCAACGGCCAAAGGAGAGAGAGAAGATTGGGAGTCGTAGTTTTTTTTTTTTTTTAACATGAGGAGGCATAAGTTTGTTTTGGCTTTAATGTTGAAGGATAAAAATGAAATTGTTGTTGTTGTGGAGGATAAAAGTGAAAATATAAAGTTTTTCAGATATGCTCACTTTTTAAAGTAGTATAATTGTACACGTCAAGCCTAGAATAACATACCCTAAAAATCTTGGGCCAAATCTCCAACTACGCATTGGTTTTTAAAGTTCATTGAACTATTTTGATAAATCTGACTCTCTAAATTCAAATACCAAATAGGCCCCTAAGAAACGAGGTAGAGAAGTCAAAGCTTGATAAAAAAAAAAATACATTTATCTACGAGTGTAAGTTTATTGAAGAGGCAACCTTTGCACACCCAAGTGGAGGAAATTGTGATTAAGAAAGGAGACAGTTGTAATCAAGGATGAAACCTCCATTGCCAAGGAGAAATTTTTGCGTGAGTCTAACACACTTCATGACATTACTATGTGATATATACATTATCTATAAAATATTATACATTCTCAATGAATGATTGTCACCTATCAATTTGTCAAAACAACTCGTGTATTCTATGAGTTGATTTTGTGGTAGTTTCTCATTTGATATACACACCAAATAACAATGTCACTTAATGTGTTAAACTCATTCTATTTTTGTTATTGTCAAGTCAAATTTGGAGAAAAAATCTTGAGGGGACTCAAGTTGCCTTTGGTTGAAAACAAAACCTTGAAGAAGAAAGAACTTGAGACCATTTAGTAAAAAGAGTAAAGATTTGAAGAAGAAAGTAACATTTAGTCGGTATTTGCTTAAATCATTTATTATAACTTGTGGTCAACGTGGACTTAAGGTATCTTATGTGTTATTAAGGGAATATCCAACCACCTTGACATACTTTTAACATGGTTGTAATTTGGTTCTAACAACAATGATATTGTCTAATGTAGGTATTATAAAAATTACACATGGTGTGAAGTAGTGGCGGAGCCATTCATAGGCCAAAGTGAGCTGGTGTCTCCCTGACATTTGTCTTACCTACTACACATATTCATATGATTTTTTTTTTATTTAAAGCCCCCTTTAATTTTTTAATATTTTCTTTGATGCTTGCATTTTGGTATTTTGAGAAATATTATTACATCTGGTTCAAAAAATACTTGGGTTACTTTTCGAATTTAAATAGTCATTTGGATTAGTGATTTGGGGATTATTTTCGATTATGTATATTATAAAGAAAATAATTTTAATATAATAGATGATGATTTATTAGTGGACTCTTTGATTATGTATATCAAGAAAAAAATTACTGCAAAATTTTACACATAAATAAATAATTATTTTCGGGATATGATATCACATCAAACATTATTTGAATTTGAATAAGTGATTGAGTTGAATTCACAATGACATAAATATTGTGTCCTTTTTTTGTTCCATGTGTTAATAAGGCTAAATAATGTTATACATATATATATTTCCTTTTAGAATTTTAGTGTTGATTATTAACATATTTTTTTTTTATTACGGATCACTTATCATGCACTCAAATATAATTTACTTAGGGTAATTTGTACCTGAAGACACAGTGCAATGTGAATGATTTTGAGAGGTATATTGATGACTATATTGGATGAGTCTATTTGAGACTGTCGAATGAACTTATTGAAATCTGCTCTGTTTTATATTATAGACTAGAGTAACCCATATTTAAAGACATGATTCAATGTGCATAGTTTTGAGAAAGATATTGATAACTTTGAATGTGTCTATTTGAGACCATCAAATATGTTTATTGAAGTCCGTCCTATTTTATATTATATATATACACAAGTAAATCTTTGAATTTTTAAAAAAATAATGTTGTATAACCCAAATGAAACGTAAAAGTTAAAACTCAAATGTATATCATCTTTTGGATGAGTAGATTCTACTGAAAAAATTATTAAGAGTCATTAATCTAAATAATGATATATATTTAAGTTATAATTTTTTAAATTTTATTTGAATTTTATAACATCGCACTTATTAAAAAGAGCAATGCTATTGAAACTTAATTTTCTGACCTAATTTGCTATGACTTTTGGATTGACTGTATAGCCCATCGAACATTGAAACTTGGTGTTGATCCAATAGTTCTACTGAAGATCAATAAATTAGGTCAGATTTTTAGGTCCAATTAGTATTACTCTATTAAAAATACGTCGGATTGGATGGTAATTTTGTAATTAAAGCCTCAATTGCGACACGTGTTACTTTATTCAAGCGAGTTAAACACAAGCTACCTACTTGGGCGAGTTCTCCTACCCCCGTTCTTTATGGCGGGTCACTACTTTCCCTCTTTTTGAAAACAACCATGGCGCATCCGTAATTTACCAAGTTTCCAGGTCCACTTTTCGAACCCATTAAAGGAAAAGTTTCAATTAACTTTTCCGAAAATAAAGATCTGCAATTCCGGGTCACTTATCCAGCGAACGTTTCCCAAACTTCATTCAAATCTCAACCGTCCAACTCATCTACACCGTCACATCTTCCATCTAATAGCTCGATTTTTATTCCATTCGGTTACGTCACTAACCACTCAGATCGAATCTCAACCGTAAATATCCCAATCCGACGGTCAGAATCATCCTATATTGTTTTGATTTTTAATAAATTGTTTTTGTATTTTTCCAGTCAAAACCCTTTAATCTCGTGACCGGTGAGCCCGAAGAAACCCTAGCCCTCTTTCTCTCTCCTCTCTCTCTCTCTCTGGAAAAAAGTAAAATTCAAATAAAATCGAAAATAATTCAAAAAATCGACCTGTGTCAATTAGGGTTTCAAATCGAACACAAACTCTTCTTTTATCGCTATCTCCCAGATTCTCATGTTCAAAACCTAGAATTCGTTGCTTCATGTGCTCGATTGTCACGCGTTTCGGAGTTATCGAAGAAAGGTCTGTATGTCTATACACATATGCTTGTATATTCCTACATATCCTGACTTATTTTATGCGAGAAATGAGTTCATTTTATTTTGGAATGTGGTTGTTCTGTGATTAATTGTTTGATTTGTCGTGGATTTTGATATATTTGGTTTCCTGTGTAAATTTTTAGTTACAGATCTGAAAATTTGGATGTGCTTGTGTGTGTGATGGGATATAAAATTTGGGAATTTTGGTGTGGGGTGTTTGGATTGAGGGATTGTTGATGGAAAATAGCGTAGGAAAGTCTGATGGTGCTGAGACTTCCAAGAAAACAAGATCTGTGGATCTCCAGAGCCTTTACAAAAGTAGGGTCTTAAAGGAAGGGCACAATAAGAGAAAGAATAGTGCACAAAATAATGATGAGGTTAAGAAAAAGAAAAGGAATAGTAGGAAAGAGGTCGCTTTGACTAGTATTCAGCAAGCGGGCAAGAAGAGTAAGAAGAGTTTAGGTGAAGTATATGTTGATGGGGTGAGTTCTGGTTCTGGTGATGTGGACCGGGCTCTGTTGGGTTTGAGTGACAAGTTGAGTACCAGTAATGGATCAAATGGTATTTCCATTGGTTTGGATGGTAATGGTAATTTGATTCGGATCCCCAAGCGTCCACGAGGTTTTGTGGGGCGTAAGAAAGTTGAAAGTAATCGGGTTTCAAAGCCATCAGGACTGTATAGTTCCGGTGATCACACTGCCAAGTTAAATGGCGAGTCGGAGAATATTGTTGGTAATCAAGTTTTAAAAACACCTGGTTCTTCTGCCAGCAAAGCTCGTTCTGGTGATGAGATAGTTAAGTTGCATAGCGATTCCGGAGGTGAAATTGTTAGTTCCAAGGTTTCACAGAAGTCGGGTGTTGATGATGTTAAGGGAAGTAGGACAGCTAGAGTGAGGTCAGCTCGGCATGCTAAGGAGGAAGCTGGTCATTTGGTTGTAGATAATGATGATGCACCTCCTAGAAGGCGGCAAAGCAAACACCGGAAAAAGAACGGTTTGGCATCAGGTAATGGAACTGTTGTAAAGCAGGTGGAGCCTCCACTTGTGAATCCAGTCAGTAACCGTGATGGTTTCCAAGATGATGATGATGAGGAGAACCTTGAAGCAAATGCAGCGAGGATGCTATCGTCTCGATTTGATCCGAGTTGCACTGGATTTTCTTTGAAGACCAGATCTTCTGCATCACACTATGCTAATGGGTCGTCTTCCTTGATCCATTCTGGTCAGAGGTTTGGTCAAGGGGCAAACTTCTTAGCTGGCTCAGAGTTGGCATCAGCTGACTCTGCTGCTAGCAGAGTATTGCGACCAAGAAAACATCATAATGAGAAAGGCCTCTCAAGGAAGCGACGCCATTTCTATGAAATTCTTTCCACGGATTTGGATGTATACTGGGTTTTGAACCGGAGGATCAAGGTATTTTGGCCGTTGGATGAGAGTTGGTATTATGGCCTCGTGAAAGATTATGATCCAGAAAGAAAGCTTCATCATATTAAGTACGATGATCGAGATGAGGAGTGGATTGACCTTCAGCATGAGAGATATAAACTTTTGCTTCTTCCCAGTGAAGTTCCTGGAAAGGTAGAGCCAAGAAAATCTGCTATGGGAGATAAGGGAAAGGCAGAGTTGACTTCAGATGATGAAAGTTACGTGGGAAGCTATATGGATTCAGAGCCCATCATCTCATGGCTGGCTCGTTCTTCTCGTCGAGTCAAATCTTCTCCTTCAGGCACTTTGAAAAAACAGAAAACGTCCCATCCATCTACTTATTCTGTTCCCCCATTGTCTGACAAGATTGATGATGCATGTTTGGATATGGGTTTGTTTGGAATAGATATGAGTGCAGTAAATTGTAATTCAGCATTTCCAGACAGATCAATTAATGGCATTTCAGGTGAGACATATGTGCTGGAAAGCACCACTAGCTCCAAAGATAGCGAACTACCTGTTGTTTATTTCAGGAGGCGGTATAGGAAGAAAGACAGTGGATGGATTAGCACATCTGTAAATGGCAATGCTTCTCGAAGTGTGCCTGGATCTGTTTTTTCTCTTGCCCCTGTTGTTGACACTTCTCGAACTTCAAAAGAATCCAATGTGTCTCTTGGGTGGTTTAAACCTTATGAGCATTTCTGGTCTATTGATGATGATGGCTTGTTAAAATTAAGTATGCCGTTGGTAGAATCTAGAGAATTCAGGCTTGAGTTATGCTTATCAGTACCTCCTGTCCTGAATGTCATATTTGGACTAGAGGATTTTTGGTGGTTACATGCTGTACTGCTGCTTCAATTTGGTACTGTTGTCTCTCTGTGGCCTAAGGTTCATTTGGAGATGCTTTTTCTTGATAATAATTTCGGCTTGAGGTTTTTCTTGTTTGAAGGTTGCTTGAAGAACGCTGTGGCATTTGTTTTCCTTGTTCTACAAGTATTTCATCAACCTCATGAGCAGGGGAAGTATGTTAACCTGCAATTTCCGGTATCTTCAATAAGATTTAAACTTTCTTGTCTTCAAGACTTCAGAAAGAAGCATGTGTTTGCATTCTGCAGCTTCTCCAACGTGAAATGTTCAAAATGGTTGCACCTAGATCGTAAACTCCAGCAACATTGTTTACTGGTTCACCAGCTACCTCTGTCTGAATGTACATATGATAACATCAGGGCACTCAATGGAGTTTGTAATCAGCTGGACATAAATTCTGTTGGTGGGGAGCCCTCCGCTTTTCAGGTATTTATTTCAGTTTGTTTACCTTTTTTATTTCATGAAGCTGCCTCCCCATCCCCCTCTCCCCCCCCCCCCCCCTTTCTTCTCCCCCTGCCTGAGCAATGAAAAATCTTTTGGAATTTAATTAGTGGATTTTGATTCCACTTTTATTCTTCATGCCTTGCTGTCAGCCTTTGCAGCTTTCTGCTCGTTTTTCTTTATACCTCTGTTGTTGATGTTTACCATGCATAGGTATTTTAACTGACATTAAATATCGAACTGGAAAGCTTTTGCTAGGTTATTAAGCTCAAAAAATAAAATAACTTTTAGGATATACTTAGCATGGCTAGGCTGTTATGTGTTGTGAGGCACTTCAACATGATCTTGCTTCCAGTGGGATTGAATGTGGCAAGTTGTACTGTCAAACAGGGTTTACAGAAGAATTCTGCCCTGGGTATTATGGCAGTGGGTGTTTCCAAAGAATCCTGCAACACAAATATGAATTGCTCTTCTTCTAATTATGATCTGAAGCGGGGAAAACTTCCTCCATTTGCTCTTTCTTTTACTGCTTCACCAACTTTCTTTCTTGGCCTGCATCTTAAGCTGCTGAGGAGTATTGCATGCATGAGCCTTCAGGACCATGAACCTGCTTATTCTCTTCAATCAGAAAGCACTTGCCTGCCAATTGCAGATGACTCCACTCCGGTCGAGGATTGCTCTGAGAATGCGCCAGTAATCACTCCTGAGAGCAATCTGAAACCTTCATCAGGAGAAGTGGCTTGTTCAGGATGGTTGTCCAGTGCCAGACCGCAGTTGGGAACTTATGTCGAACCACATTTGAAAACTGATACTGTCTTGGCCAGCAATGATGGGGATTCCTTGCAATTGTCTGAGAATCTTCAAAATAGCAAACCAATGAATGTTGCTGGTACTTATTCCTGTTCCAATGATTCTGGGGAAAATGCAATTGATGTAATTGTACAATCACAGGATGGTGGATGCAATGATCTAGTGTCACAGCATATTGCAATATCAGAACAGCCTATAGTACCTAAAGACCACAACTCTCCTGGTATGTCGAATGACAAGAGCTATTCTGGTTTGAATGGATTGAGTGTTGAAATTCCATCCTTTGACCAAGTTCAAAGGCCTGTGGATGAAAGCACGCATAGGGCTCAACAGGCTTCTGAGTTAGATTGGAATACTAGTGATGGTTTTGACCGAAGCCCAAATCCCACGGGCCCTCGGAGTTTGTCGCATCGCAATAGAAATAGCTCAAGTTCTTCGTCTTTTGGCGATTTATCACATGTACGGCCCGATGGGAAAAGAGATTTTATCCGCAATGGCTTCGGCAATGGACCTAAGAAGCCACGGACACAGGTCCATTACATGATGCCTTTTGGAGGTTTTGATTTTAGCTCGAAGCACATGATCCATAACCGAAAAGGGCTTCCTTATAAGCGAATTAGGAGAGCTAAGGAGAAGAAGACCTCAGATGGTTCCAAAGTTTCTCGAAGGAACTTGGAGTTCCTAGCTTGTGATGCCAATGTGTTGGTCACGCTTGGGGATAGAGGGTGGAGAGAATGTGGTGGACGGGTTATGTTGGAACTTGCAGATCAAAGTGAATGGAAACTAGCTGTTAAACTTTCCGGGACTACGAAATATTCATACAAAGTGCATCATGTTTTGCAGCCTGGATCAACAAACCGCTACACACATGCCATGATGTGGAAGGGAGGAAAGGATTGGGTACTGGAGTTTCCTGACAGGAGTCAGTGGATGCTTTTTAAGGAGATGCATGAAGAGTGCTATAATCGGAATATTCGTGCTGCTTCAGTTAAAAACATCCCCATTCCTGGAGTTCGCCTGATAGAGGAAAGTGATGATGATGCCACAGAAGTGCCTTTTGTTCACAGTTCTTCCAAGTACTTCCGACAGGTTGAAACTGATGTTGAAATGGCTATGGATGTGTCACGCATCTTATATGACCTGGACAGTGATGATGAGCAATGGATTTTTAATAATTCAAAATCTTCACATTCCGGTGAAAATGAGTCTGAATATATTTCTGAGGAGTTGCTTGAGAAGACAATGGACATGTTTGAGAAATTTTCATATGCACAACAGCGTGATCACTTTACAGCTGATGAAATAGAGGAGCTCATGGTTGGATTTGGGCCCAAGGAAGTGATTAAAGTAATTTATGAGCATTGGCGGCTGAAGAGGCAGAATAAGGGTATGCCATTAATCCGACAACTTCAGGTACCTTCCACTTTATTCAGCCATTTAATGCCATTTCCTTGCTATTGGTATTTGGTTTATATTTTTGGGTCAGAAAATGTGGCTAATTTTGATGGCACATGATCCCTGTAGTACAATTACCTTGAGATGATAAAGTGTTTTGGTTAGCTGAGTCTATGCTGTCATAATTATTCCATCATAAAAACTTATTTTCTCTACGTTCTTCCAATTAGTAAGCTGACGTAGGTAAAACAGGGAATAAATCTAATCTTAGTATTGAATAAGTATTGCTGAAGAACTTCCTGAAATTGTAGCAGTGGGAAATTACCCTAGGTTCTGCATTTAAGCACTTGATCCAATAATACTTATTGATGAATGCAAGAAGTGAAATTTGAAAAGCTATGGACTTTCGAACTTGTTTATATAGTTGCAAGCCCCAAGAATGCAAGTAAACTCATTTAAACCAAAAGAATACAAATTCTCCTCTAGAAAACATTTAAATTTACAAATATTCTCAATTTTATTGTTTAATTGTCTGATTGGTTTTAGTTAAAGAGACACTACTTTTGTGGGGTGAGTACCCCTAGCTAACAGTCCACCTGGTGCTTTGTCATGTAAAAATTGCCACTCCAGCAGAAAGAAATGATGAAAACGTAAAAAGAAAGAGGAATGAAAAAGATCAAGGGTCCATATACTGTCTGGAAGCCCATATTTGGGCTTTGGTTGATTGCTCTCTCGACAATGGGATTTTTAGGGTTGTGTTTTACAAATTAAAAAGGCATCAGATCCCTTGAGCAGTTTAATATGCAACTTTTCCAGTGAACACTTCATCACCTACTTAAAGGGTTCTTCATTCTATGGGCTTGAAAGCATTCTCTATCTTTGGGGCTAGGACATAGAATCCCTGTGTGGTTACCTTTTTATCTTTCCTAATCTTTCGCAAAGTAGCTACAGAGAGGGAAAGAACCAGTACTGATCAAAACCAATTGACAGACCACCAAACATCTTCTTAAAGTAATAGAGTTGATGATACTGGAATATCCTTTCCTCTCTCTCTCTCTATATAAGTGACCATCAAAACCATAATTAATGCTGGGCCTAACACGCCACATATCCCTGCCACAAGTCGCACCATGAGACAGCCTACTGCTACATTTGCAACAATAACCACCACATTCCAGCATCCCCTTCACTCTACGCACATTCCAATGCCAATATCATTATCTTACTACAATCAATACTGAATAGCAACAATGGCTAATTTTCTAGCGGAAATTCCTCATAAAGTCGAGATTTAGGAGATATGGGAAGGAGATAAGGTTAAGGCTTTGCTTTTTTTTCTTCAAAAAATTAAAGGGTAGAAGGATCGTATATTTGTGAAATAGGGTTACTGCTTGTGCATCTATGCATTCATGTGCATTAGACTAGGTTAACTCCCCAACTTGGGATTGACTGTGGCTTCAGATCTGGTAATTAGCATTGTGAACCATGGTGAGTTCAGGCAGCTCTCAGTACATTTAAGATATGTCAAAGGAGTTATCTTATATTGTTTATGATGGGCAAGTATATTGGTTGCTCTTGCTGTAGTGTACATCTGAGAAGAAGAGGCTTCAGAGAACTTGTTGAATGCTCTGAGGGTTTTGAATGTGGGATAATGCATAGTCCAAGTGGCAGAGCATTTGCTTTTCACTAGAACTATCTAGACGTGTTTGACAGTGGACCAGAGTGTATAATATCTTTGAGGACATGTGATCTTGAGTTTGAAGCATGCAATTCGTCCTGTGGTGATTATTTGCTGGAATTCTTATCTGAAAATAGAATTCTTCAAAGGCACTCATTTATTTTCAAGTGATTGATGTGAAGTGATCGTTTCACCATCATGTGCAACTTGCACAGTGCCAAATTATGTTCTGATGTAATTTGGGGAAGGTAGCGAATTTTCATAGAATGGGTTTTGGATTGGATGATGCAGCGGACATTTACGTTGGAGCAAGTTGATCCATTAATCATGGTAATTGTTTTTATGATAGAGGCTTTTTAGCAGGCCAATTCATTTTAGTGGGTCCATGGATGACCATGACATTACCCATTAAAATGTTGAATTTGTCACATTTGTGTTTAAAGTTGCGTACATGTGACCCTCCTTAGACATTGCAGTGACAGGAGTTCTGTGCACTGGGTTGTCCTATCGTAAATTCTCAAATTATGTGAAAAAATTGAATCTTAACAAAAAATAAATAAATTTATCTAACAGTATTAGATTCAAACTGAAAATTGATAAGCTAGTTATCAAGATTGACACTAGTGCAATTCTTGGTTTGGACTGTGTTCGCTTTCACAGGATCAGGCATTGCTCATGAAGATGAACGTGGTTTCAGATTTTTTATGATAGATTTTTTTGTGTAAATTTTGGCATTTAGCAAAATTTTTAGTAAATTTTTTTCTCAAATTTTCAGTAAATTATAAGGCCATTTTTTTGCCACATTATTGGGTAGATTTTTCTTGGCGAATTTTGTACAGTAAATAAATAATTAAATATAGATATTCTGCTAGCAGGACAACTGGTTGTTTTTTGCGCTTGCCTTGTGACTCAAATTGTAGAGTTGTTTGTATTTTTTTTTTTTTTGGCACTAGCTCCAATGTGAAAGTATTGGTCAATTCCAATACGAGTCGGTCACCTCCAATCCAATAATGATACACAATACGAGAATATCATGAGACTTAGCTGAGTCAGTTTATAACTCAACCAACTCGAATCAACTAAGGCTAGTCAACACCGAATCAAACCGATTCACAAAATCATCTGACCAAGATCTCAGGCAGCCATCACCAACCAAAGAAAAGGTAGATAGAGAAGAAAAGAGGAGACCAAGGGATGAAGAAATTTGTAACTCTAGATCACACATCCTCTTGCAATTACACGAAAGGAGAAAAGATTTCAAGACAAAACCAGTAGCCTTTGCGAAGTGGCAAAAGCCCATTTTCTTCTTCTTCTTCTTGGTGAAGAAGTTGTGGAAACGCAACAAGTAGCAAACGTGATTGAAGAGCATCTCTCAAGTTCCCTCTAATCTCTTAGTGTCGCTCTCTTCATTTCTCGTCTCCCATCTCCTAGGCTCCTCTAGACTCTTTGTATTCAATGGATTCTCACTCTAAAAACAAGTACCCTGGAATCTTAAAACAAATAGAATTCTCTAGTTTTATGCTATTGTCCTATTATTATTTCTATATGTTTTAAGACTATGGTATTAAATGTTGAATCTGTAAAATTATTTTTTTTAATCTCTAAAATTAAACGTTGAAATCACATTTAGATTTACAATTCATAGATAAATATTTATTGTTGTTATTTTTAATTTAGAAAAGCCTTAAAATTGAATACTTAGAGCATCTCCAACCTTGACTCTAATTCAGACTCAAAATTAAATTTGTGTCTAAATAGTCTAAAAACTTTTTCTAAGCTTGGACTCAAATGTATACCAAATCAAGAAAAAACTTATTGTGGATCCAAATTGAGGGAGACTCAAATTCTATACCAAATTTTCAAGGGTAACTTTTTACCTTATCCAAAATCAAAAGACTTCTTCCATGACTTTTTTTTTTGTCCCTTCTTGCCTTTCTCTTCTATGCTTCCATCGTTGACCACCACCGAAGTATTCACAAATCCTTTAAAGACTTATAGATAACTTCTTCCTTTTCATATTTCATTTTCTTGATTTCTTATATTTTGTAAAATCATAGTTTTCAAATCGTGTATCGGAAGGCGTATCATTTTTTAAAAATAGTGTATAGTATCATATCGTTTATCGTGTATCGTAAGATATGCGCAATTTTAATTTTAAATAATTATTAATAAAATATATGTATATACATTTATAGAAAAATCATAGACTTATAATAACATAGTATTTCATTAATATTCTACTAATTATTTAAGTTTCTAACATAGTTTAATAATATCAAAATGCAAAGACCTCTAATTCAAACTTCTAACATCAACTGCTTGAACAACTTTAATATTAATCAGAAATTTTGAATTTAATTGAACAACATTAACATTAGATTTTATTATTTTTTTAAACTATGACTACTGAAATGATGTCGTTTTACTAGCTAGTGATTTAAAAATAAGTTTTAGGGTAAAATGATGTCATTTCAACCCCAAAAAATAAAAAAAAAACAGAATCGTTACGTATAGTATCGTACGTATTGTATTGTGTATCGTATGATACAGTGCAACAACGATACAAAGACACGATACGTATCGTTTTTTAGGTGTATCATGATGTATCGTATGATATTAATAATTATGTGTAAAACCCTAATCTCACCCATCTTGTATACAATATAAACCCTAAGTCTATCTATCAAATTTTTCTTTGATTTTTTTGAGTTAAACAGTGTTGGTAGTGTAATTTTAGGCTACTAATTCTTCGTGAAATTTCAAGCCTTCATTATCCACAAATTTAGAAAATTCGTTATTTTATTACTTTAAACATCCATTTTTGTTGAAAACAATCCATTTTTTGTACCAAACCCATGCCAAAGTAATTGCTTTTTTTTCTTTTTATCTAAATTTACATAAGAATATAAGGGATTAGAACAATTTGAGAATTTTAGAGTGGTTTTTTCCCCCCCCTAATTCTTTTTATTTTCAAGAGGTAATTTTGTACCATATTCAATTTTGAAATATGAAAATTTCATTTATTTTATCAAATTTTATAATTTGAATGATACAAAAATGGGTTTTGAGATAATAAGAGAATTTTTTAAAAGATTTGAATAGATATTTGAGTTTGCCAATTGGAGTACTCAATTTTAAATCAAGCTTTTTACTCAAATTTGAGTCATGTTCGGGGATGCTCTAACATGTTCAAAATTATTAGTCACATATTTGATGCTTAACGATTATTATCGATATCGCCCTTCCTTATCTCTCATTTCACTACATTTAATTTGTTAAAATTTTGGATGTATAATACATGGACTTTGTTGTTTTTATATTTTTAAAAATTTTGCGTAATTTTTTCAGAATTTTTTGGGCCTTCTATCTAGCATTTTGTGTTGTACCGGTTGATACTGTACCTCAGGTACACTCGGGGTCACGGGCTAATACTGCGGTCTTGAACCCTGATTGACCTGCATATCTCTAATGTGTTATTGATGGGCCTCTAGGCGTTGTGCAATTATTTTTTCATTTTGGGAAGTTTCTATCAATATACAGTTATTTACTATTATTTTTGTGCTTCATACTTATTGTGAGGCAGTTGGTTGATTTCATAACTTAATTATGTATTTTGACATGAAATGTAGGCATGCTTGCATAATGACTGAGCAGTCCATTTTGATGTAGGACCCGAAAGTTGCAACTGTCATCGAACTTCTATTTTCTAGTGCTGTTTTTCTATCATTACTTCTTTACAATTGCTGCTTCTAGTGTTAGTACTACTCAACTCGACCTTGTCCCAAAATTTTTTGGGGTCTGCTAAATGGTGTTCATATTACTAATTTTATTATTTGTTGAAAAATGTGTGCTCTATATTTCGGATTGAGATTGGTGTATTTGGAAGATTTCTCAATTATTTGGGCTTTTCCCAGCCTCCGCTTTGGGAAAGATACCAGGAGCAAGTGAAAGAATGGGAGGACACCATGACAACTGCCAACTTTGCCAGTTCTAGTGGATGCCAGGAGAAGGCACAACCCATTGAGAAACCGCCTATGTTTGCTTTCTGTTTGAAGCCACGAGGCTTGGAGGTGCCCAACAAAGGTTCAAAACCGAGGTCACAGAGGAAATTCCCAGTATCTTGGCACAGCCATACTGCCCTCGGAGATCAGGATGGTCTTTATGCTTTTGGTAACTTTTCTTGGCGTTACATATAATCCAAGAAGCACTTTTCACTTTTTTTTGGGATTAGTGACCACTATTTTAGCATTTATCTTTTCTTTAATTTTTGTCTTTCCATTGGTGTGTGTTAGGAAGAAGATCAAATGGGTTTGCTTTTGGAGAAGAGGTTATATTTCAAGGCAATAGCCATGAATCTTCGGAGGCTTCCCCGTTGCTTCAGGCATCAAGCAGGGCATTCTCACCGAGGGATGCTGGTGGTACTGGATCTTTCTCCTTGCGCAATGATGGCTTTGAATTGAATCATCAGCCAAGACTACATAGAAATAATTCAAAGAAGTTTGGGACTAGTCTCTCCTCTAGCAGTCGACAGATGGTGTCTTCTTTGAACCAGAAAACAATTGGCAAGAGAAATGGAGTTCAACGGTGGAATATGTATTTGCCAGAGTGGCCAAGTCAAAAGCATTATAAATCAGAAGGATCTCATTGGCATGGAATTGAACAGTTGGATGGTCCAGATCTTGATGAGTTCAAGTTGCGTGATGCATCAAGTGCAGCTCAGCATGCACTTAACATGGCGAAGCTCAAGCGAGAAAGTGCTCAGAGAGCGCTTTACAGAGCAGATCTAGCAATACACAAGGCTGTAGCTGCTCTCATGACTGCTGAGGCAATCAAAGCTTCTTTTGGGGACTCAAATGGTGATGGGTAGATTGCCAGATGAAATCTGAGGTGATGAGGGAATGAAAATAGCCACTCCCTTTAGCTGGCAGTTGCAGACCAAGAGAGTTCATATAGCTTTTGAAGTGATGTGGACTTTTGCTAGTGGATCTGGGTTTTCTGCTGATGGTGGTGGCCTTTCATAATTGCCTATGGGCCCCAAGTGAACCTAACACGATGGCTGCGAGCAGTTCAGGGATTGGCAACTACTGGTTTCCACCCATCACGACGCAAAATTCTCCCACGCCCCAAGTTGACATTATCATGGTAATTTTGGTAAATAACTTTTTAGTCCTGCCCACTAGTTTTTCCGAGCAGCAGGTTTTCTCAGTTCGATGCCACTGGTATATTGCTCGTGATGATGATAGGGGTGTGAAATTTTGGTTGCCAATCGCTGTACAGATTTTTTTCCCCTCTTCCTTTCCTTGTTCCTTCTGACCCCTTAACCTTAGTTTTAGTGTTTGATATTGAAGGAGCAATTGTCCCAAATAATATAATACATGTGTTGGTAATCGGGTTACGCATTCGTGTGATTGGGCTCTGGAGCAGCTGCTATATATATGACAACCACTGAACTCTATTCCTGAGAAATCAGAGAGAAAAAAATATACTGTAAGTAATTACCTCGCAAAGTTTCGGTATGATCAATAGAGGAGTAGATGGTATTGCTTGTTTCGAATTCTGGTCAAGCTTTATTTGTCTCAAGAATATGTAATGTTTATGATGGCTAGTGTATAGTGGTTATTTATTCAGTATGGATTTGTTTTTGGATGAAGTGCTTGAAGTTTGTCTGCAGCATAAAACTGGTTATGGTGTATAAAGCAGGAGGAGTTGTGACCCAATAGTGATTGAAATCTGATAAGTATTGTAGCACTAGCCACCAGAATTAGTGGGATTTTTTTTTATTTTTTGGGTCAGTCACTATCACAGGGAAGGGGATGCAATCCATGACAATAAGGTCTAACAGCGGGAACGGTGGCGCCATTAGGTGAACCGCTAGCCTCAAAATTAGCAGATGTGAAACGAAGGATTTGGGTTTAGAAGTTTAGCTGGGAGGCCTGAAGAAGAGGAGGCAGGTGTAGGTCACTGGTCATGAATTTTATCAGGAGGGGTGGATTGATTGGATACAAATACATCTTTGACTTTGTTTGCGCAAAGTTATTGATTTCATATTCGAATCTGCAATCTGAGTTATTAGTGGACATGACGGAATTTTCGAATGCTCGAACCGTCATCGTCTTTCTATTACACTGCTCAACGTGCAAAAACTGCAAACAATGTTCCTTAGGTTGGAAAGTAGAAAGTAGATTTTCTAATCATAATTAGATCTTCATTGACTAATACTGAACCAAGCGCATGTTTGGATGGTTTTTAAAAGAGGAAGAGGGGGGGGGGGGGGGGGGGATTGGATTGATTTTAATAATAGTTTTCTTTACCCAGAGTTAGGGAATGATGAGAAAAGAAAATGAAAAAAGAATATAACCGGTTGTACGGGTAAATATTGGGTGTAAAGGTTATACTACGTTAATATCGTTACATATTGTAACCGTCCAATAATAAACAAACAAGTGGACAACTAAACTCAATTTTTTTTTATATGTTATCTTACATGGAGGAGTGAGTTCTATTTTTTGTCTAATGTTAAGTTATCATCGAACGATTATACCATAAGATAATATTGATGTATGTGTTGGGATTTCACACGATTTAAATCCACTAACAACCACACACAATCGAAGAACAAATCAAGAATATAAAGCAATAAGAAACAAGAAAGAACAAGACACAGATTTTACGTGGTTCGGCAATTTGCCTACGTCTACGAAGCTACAGGGATTTCACTATTGAGAGAGTTGAATACAGAGAGCGGCTGTACCATCCACAATTAACCCTAATCACCAAAACAACAGGGTTTATATGTCCTACGCACTGGGCTGTATAACGGGCCAAAAAAAAATTTCCTCGGGGGCGTTGCCCCCGAACCCCCACGAGACTTGTCCATGAGCGCTACGGCTTGGGCCTATCGGCCCAAGCCTTCGCTCCATGGACTAAGCCTCAGAAAATTTTCCATTAAAAACCACACAACATTATTTCGGGTCGGGGTCATCATCCGGATCACATATACAAACTAGACTTCATAAAAAAAAGCCAACAGTATGATAACCGTTACTCCCAATATTTACTCTGGTCGTACATCCTATACATCACATGGGTCGTAAATTGGAAAGATGAAATTCCAATCCAAGGCTAAGAGTTTATCTGTGCTAACCGAGTACTCCTTGACTTCACAACCTTTTCACTCAAACTCATCATTGAAGAGTTTGGGTTTAGTATCCACGAACCTAAAATCAAAATCGAAGCAGAATGAACAAGTTTGGGTTTAGTATTAATAGATTTGAATGTAAAATTGATGGACATGTTAATGAATGTATTGTCACAATTATACGTGATAGGATGATTATAAGTTAAATAAATTTTGGCATGATACAACGTAAACACAATACTAAACTTATTATCAACCCTTGTGAAGAGTTATGGTACTGTAATTTACAATTAGGGGTAACAATCGTGTCGAGTCATGTTTGTGTTGTATTGTGTCATATTATTTTGATTTTGTGTCGAGTACTAGTCAACTTTTATCTAACTCATTTAATTAATTGTGTCGTTTCGGGTTGTGTTGACCTATTTATTTTCGTGTCGTGTTCGTTTTGACCCAAATAACCCATGAATAAAAAATTTAACGCCTAATTTTATGTCTAAAATTTTATTATCATTTAATTGAACTTATGTTCATACTTTTTTAATAAACTAAAAATTAATTTAATAAATAAATATAATAATAAAAATGAATACAAACATTTTTTTCTTTGTACAAAAATTAGGTCATTACTTAATAAAATATAAATATTTTATTTTTATAATATTACTTAAACGTGTTAATCGTATCAATTTCATGTTGTTCGTATTTGACATTAACTCAACTCATTTATTATTCATGTTAACGGGTTGTGTTATATTCGGGTTCATGTCAAAAAATGATTAATTCAAACTTACTAATTTCGTATCGATTTCAAATCGTATTTTCGTGTTATATCAAAAATTATCACCCCTATTCACAACACCTCACTCTACTCTAATGGCCAAAATGGTAAATTTTCTACTAATTGATGTAAGGAAGTTTGCACATTCAAATTCGTACCTAAGTAAGGTAACGGTTGGTCTAATGGTCATTGTCCTTAACGTTAGACTTTAAAGTCACATATTCGAATCTCGTCGTCTACCCTCCTAATAATAGTTGCTAACCCTAAAAAAAAACAGAAAATTCAGCACCAATTATTACAAAATGCAACCAACCACTAAAACACAAATTTTTAACAGCAATTATTTTCTTACAACCGACATTATAACGGTCACCCAACCGTCAAAACCGCCAATATTCTCTCCTCTCCTCTCTCTTCTCTTCTCTTCTCTCTCTCTCTCTCTCTCTCTCTCTCTCCCAAAACCAGCAATTTTCACTTACAAATGTCTATCTCCTCAACTCAACCCTACCCATTAACCTCTCCTGTTTGCCTCAACAATGTCTATTACTCTATTTCGAAAGCGCTTATTCAAGTAATCACGTACATATAACCCTTCCGCCAGGTGGATTTCTTTCTCTGTGAATCAATTTACCCTCTGTTTGGTTGCTGAGTAAATTTAAGGAAAAAGGAAGATATCTAAAGAAAGGAAAAGAAACTTTTGAATTCAATAAAAAAAAAAATCCAATGTTTTGTCATCAACCCCACGAGGCATTATTATGCTTACATATAGCTGTTGAATGCATGTTTTTATCTGGTCATGCTATGCTCTAATTTCTGAAATTCACTTTCAGAAATTTTGATTTTGAATTCTATATTATATGCAATTTAACCATAAGTTTCTTGATTTGTTGTCAGGGAAGGGATTGTAAGTCATCAAAATGTCTCACCGGAAGAAGGAAGAAGAGAGGATCGAAAGGATCATTCGGGGCCTTTTGAAACTTCCGGATAATAGAAGATGCATAAATTGCAACAGTTTGGTATGGGAAATTGTATAACATTAATTGGTTATGATTTTAATTTGTGGTATGAATTTGATTGCTGTATTTATTCTGCTTGCGCCGTGCTACTCCTTTTGCAATCAGTTAGGGTATGACATTAGAATAACTAGGGAGATCTGTAGGTTGATAAATCTGTAGGGACCATCTGAATGTTCTTAGCTTGTTTTAGTAGGATTTTTATTCCTTATTACAATTGTAATATTTATTAATCTTTATATTGCTATGGAAATTGGATGCATTGTGTTTGAACTTTGAATTGAAACAAGCAAGGAAATTAAAATTAGCTTCCTCAGTTTGTTTGGCTTTATGCCCTGAAGCAAGTTTGAGAAAAATCCTCGATGGTTAATTTGCGAGGTTTACTCACCCAAAAGATTTTAAGAATGAAAAATAAAAATAACTACCTCCCGAGAGAAAATTACAAATATCTATGTTTGTTTTATTGGTCTTATGAGATATTGTGCTTGAAACATGTATTTTGATGCCATTTTGAACCCAAGATAATTGTTCGATAGGTCTGGACTTGACCACAAAAACCTTGTGAAATTATGGCCCCTTCGCATCTAAAGATGTCCATCCACCTATTTTTCTCCCTATGATCTGGAGATTATGGACCACTGGAGAAGTATCTGTTAACTAGTTAGGTTCCAATTGACTAATTGGGTTTCTTAAACAAGAACTGCTGCCATTTAGTTGGCTAGCATTGAGCTTTGATCACCTGTACAAATGATTAAGCTCCATCAACATCTATTTTTCTATTTTCAGGTTCAGCTTTTATCCGAAATTCGCTAATTTAGATTTCATAATGCTGAGTTGGATTGAGAAGGTGGAAGGAGACAAGATCAAAAACTTTTCATGCATCCGCACATCCTACAATCTTGTAGCTTTTCAGCTTTCTATTCACTTAATTTCCACTCACTGAGAGATTTTTATGGGAAGAAAAGATGAAGTAGTTGATTCTTTAAGGCACTTGAAATTTTAAATACAATCATTGGGGTGTAGAATTGCAAGCTGTGCTTCCACCAGTTTGAATTCATCTTCTGACGTTTCTTTTGCAGAAGATAATTTCATTGAGAGGATAAAATTTTGTATGGCATTATTCTGTCACATGTAAAATCTTAAAGCTAGACTCTATTCTCCATGTATGTTTCATCGACACTAAGACCTAGTTTTGGAGCAACAAATGCTGCTCCCTCAAGTAAAATGCCCTTGCGATGTCATTTGCACAGACAGATACAGTCCTACTTCCAATATGTCTTGTTGACATTGCCAGGATGATTGGAGATTTTCCCATGAAATTGTTACGGTGTCTATATGTTGTTCTTCCTTTTTTTATTGGGCTGGGGGGGGGGGGTCTTGTGGTACATTAATCACGGAGATGAATTCATGTCATGCTAACATCATCTTTTAGGGAACACCAGTGTGGAGAAGTATAGCTGCATTTGTGTGGGGATCTTCCTGGCAAAGAATGACTCCTTAACATGGTACTATACTAATGTTGACATGTTTTCTTAAACAGGGGCCACAGTATGTCTGCACGACTTTCTGTACATTTGTTTGCACAAACTGTAGTGGAGTACAGTAAGTTTCACACCTGCATTCTTAAATTTACTTCATGCATAAACATTGCTCCCTCATATGAGACTGCATTCTGGATACAGTAATGTTCAGCATTAAGATGGGAGTTGCCATGTTTATTATATTACCAAATTATCTAAAGTTAATTGAACAAGGCGATTCTTGCTACCTAATTATTTTCTGTAATAATTACAGTAGGGAATTCACGCACCGAGTAAAATCAGTTTCAATGGCTAAATTTAATGCAGAAGAAGTCAGTGATCTGCAAGCTGGGGGAAATGAGGTGTGTATAATATTTCTCATTCAAAATTTATCTGTCTTTTGTGTTTTCCCCATCTGCTAATTAACCGCTCCATTTACCACTGGCTTTCATAGCGAGCAAGGCAAATCTATTTCAAAGCATGGGATCCACAGTGTAATTCTTTTCCAGATGCCAGGTAATATGTATTTTGCTTCGCCTTTTGTTTGTGTACTTCACTAAAAATGCAATTTGATACAGATTTTATGTTGCACTCCAGTAATCTTCATAGGCTTCGAGATTTTATCAAGCATGTCTATGTGGATAGGAAATATACTGGTGAGATTTCTCACAAAACCTCAATGGTTCGAGTGGTAAGCCTCTCATTCTAAAACATGCGCTGCAAGACATTATATTTTCCTTAAACAGCTTTGCTCACATTAGAATACGTGATTAATGTTCAGGAAACACATAATGTTTGATCTCATATTCACAGTCACAATGGGATTGATACCGGTTCTGTTATATCTTCTTCTATACCTTTCATGCCTAATTGATGCTGTTGTGTGTGCTCCAGGGTGAAAAAGACGACTTCTATGAGCGACGTTCTTTTGAGAGGTACAGTCAGGGTAGCAGGGATGACTTTTCTGAACGCCATTCTTATGAAAGACCCAGTTCAAGTGGCATGAATGAGTATGTAAGATATTCTGCTGCTGAAAGAAGAAGTCCTCGATACAAACAAGAAAATGGGAGAGCTGGTGGTCACAGGAGTCGTACTGCTCACTTTGAGGTAGTTGATGACAGGTTTCGAGATGATGGATACGGAAATGGAGGGCGATCTGCAATTCTCCGATTTTCTGACGCAGAGTCCAGGGCACGTAGCAGGTCCCCAGATCCTCAAATAAGTGGCCAAATGACCAACACCCCAGTGTTACGTCCTTTCAAAGATATTTTGGATGCGAATGCTCACGTAGGCAAGCATCCTACGACAAATGATGGGAGGGATGCTGATGGCTCTTCCCATGAGCAGGTATTATAAATTGCTGATCTATGCGTAGTGTTGTTATTTTATGGCTACAAGAATAGCATCATGCATTTTTTTGAAGTTATTTTGGCTTTGGTTTGTTCAAATATGCCTTCTTTTTAGCAAGTTGTCATGATTGTATGTTGCTGCTGCTCTTGAGACAATTATGACCTGTAATTCTGCATCAAATCAGGCACAGTTGCATGGAACGGCCGAGGTGAAAATAAAGATGTTCTTTGTGGAATCTAACATTATTTATGACAGTTTATATCCATCTCCACCTCTTTTTATCACGAATGAAGATGTTGTTGCTTTCCTGATCACTACAACATTGGATTGCCTTACTTAAGGAATGTCTTCATTATCGATCATGATAACTTATATGTGGCACTGTTGTGAACAACCATAGTGATCATCCTGATGCCTCCTTCAAAGTCATCCTGTGTCCTGCTCGAAGTAGACAATAAGATTTTCTAAATGTATTTTATGACTCTTATACCCTCATTGTTTCAACTTCAATTTGAATGGTAGAGTCCATTTTGAATGCCTCACACAGAGTCTAGTTTCTATGGATTTTAAAATGCGTCTTTTTATGGTCTTTCGATCTTTATCATTGCAGAAGCCAGCACCTTCCACTAGTTTGGGGTCTGTTGATCGAAGATCAGGAGAAAATAAATCAGTAAACTCAAGTAGCTTGATTGATTTCATGGCTGATTCTGAACCTCCTGCTGCTGCAGCATCACAAACGCCACAGATGGTTCAGTCTGTTGATGTTGGAAACTCCTCTATTGGATCTTCCGCAATGGAAAAGGCTTCTAAGGCTCCAAATATGAATTCATTGGAATATTTATTGTTCGAATTGTCAGCTCCTGCACCTGCGCCTGCAGGTATTATGCCTGAGGCATCTACCAGTAGTGAAACTCCATCATCTACACCTGTAGCGTCATCCAATTGTGTCAATGATACCATAACTGGATCAACAATCAACACACCGGTAGTTCCCTCTAATGAGGGTGTTCCCACAGCTTCTCGTGTAGGAAATGAACAAGTGGTGCCCAGTAGTAGCGAGGCTCCCGTGGTAAAAAAAACTGATGAGCAGCAGTTGCCAACCATGCAGCAACATCAGCCGTCTGCAGTCCCTGGTGGGGATAGTGGTCATACTGCTCAACAGAGTACTCCATCTGTTGAAGACGCTTTATTTAATGAGGTGAGAAACTTTTGGGGATTCTTTGTGTCATGGTCTTCGATTTACCATTGTTAACTGTTCTTGGTTGAAGATGATAGAAAATCTTCGGAATGCAGCTGTTGAAAAACATTTGAGCTCTAGAACATGTTTTGCCTCATGTTTTCTGCCTTACATGCAGAAGCTAAGTCTGTTTCTTATGGTGCCTATCTGCAGCCATGGCCTTCATCACCTCCACCAAATGCTCAAGGAACGCCTCCTTTTGCTTCATCTGAGCACCCATCTCAAGCTGTCTCCAAGGCAGTTCAAGAAAGTATTACAGGGGATGTGTCAAAATATAATGGGAGGAAAGAGCTTCCAGCAGTAATAAACACTTTACTCATATTGTTCCCACATTTTATGTTAGTTTTTTGAAAAACTTAATTTCTTATGTAGATTTCAATCTGCAGGACCTTTTCACATATAGTAGTTCCTCATTCCCTGCAGCAGTTTCAAGTTGGCAATTTCGTCCACCACCTGGGCTGGGATATAGCATGCAATACTTTCCCACTGCAATGGTATCTCCTTTGCCAAGATAGTTGGGCCAAAATAAGTTTCATAAGGAATTTGACAACCTGGTGAAAATGTATAATTTTAACATGATATCTTTGTTGCAGCCTATTCAAGCTTCTCCGAATCCTACAAAATCCACTAACCCATTTGATCTCAGTGATGACAGCACCCTAGTCCAAAACCCAATGGTATGCTCTTGCTCATTTTGTCCCTTTGGACTACTGATTTCCCTTCTCCCTACCTTCTATTTTAAATTGTAAATGTTATCTAAAATGTTATAATGATAATAAGGACTTGCTTTCATTAAAAAGAGCAGCTCAGCGCATAAGGTTCCCTCCAGTGCGGGGTATAATTAGATGTACACAGGTTTATCCCTACAAGCAGAAAGGGTGTTATTGAGACTCAAACCCGTTGTTTATCATTGCACCAGGGCCTACCATCTAGAACTTCCTTTCATGCCTATGATTATTTTAGTATTATGTGTACCTACAGTAGATAAAATTATGTTGATATATTGCCTGTTCATAGTGGATAACCAAAGAATGTAGTAGATCGGAAAGTGATTATTTTTTGAGAATTCAAAACTTGAGGTATTCTTCACTGTTGATAGTGCATAACCTAACAAGGTAATGTATCAGGTAGAGAATTTTTTCAGAGTTCAAATCTTGAGGTTTTAATCATAATTTGGTTCATATTCGTTGAAACGAAGCTATGATGAGGTATTTATACATTATGCTGTAATATTTATAAGATGCCTACCTGTATCCATGGCCAAGCAGAATACGGTTAATTAGAACAGGTTTTTGTCTGTCCAATTGCATGCTGCTGCTTCTCCAGAATCATGGTAAATAAAGTACATGGAGATGAATAATTTTTAGAGAAGCAGGAGTCAAACTTTTAATACCATGTATTCTGCAAACATTATAGATACCTCCATCAGCATTATGAAAACATATAAAGAGATGATAAGTAATGCTGGAATAATGCATTAAAAAGTTAACAATTTATGCGGCATATATGTGGTGTGATAATGTGAGAAGTTTTAGATGTTTCAAACTGCATTTTGAAAGTACGATAGATATATTACACTGGAAATTTTCTCCCTCATATTTGAACTCCCCCGAGAAATTAATCATTAATTTACTGGAGGATGCTGGTGGGTCTCTGCAGAAGGAACTTACGAACATTAAACTTCACTGGGGGATGATGGTGGGGGATTACTGGTTTGCAAAACAATCTGTTGTCATTCTTATACAAACTTATTGCAAGTTGTCACATTTACTTGATATAAAATAAGAATGCCAAATAGTTAGATTAATTAAGTCTGCCAACATTTTATAATGCAAGTGTTTGCGAGGATTTGACTTTTCTATAATTTGAAGCAAAAATTTCAACCTAAATTTTGAAATATTGTGTTTTTTGTGATGTAGTTTCCTCCTATGACATCATTGCAAGGAGCACTTGCAAATGTGTCAGCTTCTACAGGCTTACTGCCTCACTCATCACCTTATGCGTCTGCACTGGCCCTACAATCACCTTCTTGTGGAATGACTATGCCTCCTGGTAAAATCACATCCTTTTAGTTTGCCTACTTCAAAGTCCCCGTTATTTTATTTCTAGTCCATTTGTTTTCTTTTTTCTCATTCAATTATGTCAGAAGCATACACGGGGCAACCATTGGCAATTAATATGCCAATTTCCAGGTAAATTCTTTGCTTTGGAAATCTCTTATTTGAAGATAAGTTGCTCATACCACCACCATGACTATAGACATCATTTAAAACTGGAACTCCCTCTTACATAGCCACTCAAAGTGGCTACTTCGGAATTTTGTGTAACCAAAGCATGTTCCAAATGCCTTACCTGAGCAGGTTGCGCAGGCTGTGAAGGGAGCGGGTTTGGTGTGATTCTTCCTTCTAACAAAAAAAAAAGGGTTGAAATTAACACCATCATGCTCCATCACGAGTGACAGTTTATTAGTTTTCATCTTGACTCGCCAGATCATCTGCTGACATGGTTTGATAGTTAGTGCCATGAAATACATAATTAAAAGTCTTCGTTCTTTGTTGTATGTGTCCTGTGGAACAATAATCTAAAGTCTTGCTGGATATCATTGCAGACCACAAGGAATTGGTAGCTTTCGCAGCGAGGAAGCTGCTTTTGCCTCCTTAAACCCAATTCATCCGTCCAGTGGCAGATATCCAGGACTCAACGCCCCAAATCCATCTCCATCAGCAGGAGGAAACCCATTTGGATAATTGCACAAATCCAATTTTCTTGTTCCAGTTCAACATTACGGTATTCTGTTTTGGCCACCTACAATTTTAGGAGAAGCATGGTGCTGTCTGGTTGAATACAGATGAAACGAGCTATTTGGATTAAGCACTCTGTCTTCTACCTTCTGGCCAATGAAAAAGGATAGAAATGTAGCATAAGCTTGTCAAGGAGCATTGGTGCATATGTATGAAACGAAGGTATATATCTAAGGGCATGGTTTCCTTTCTAAAATCTATTAGTATGGAAATAAACAGATGAATGTACAATTTTCTTTTGCTTCTCGCTAGAAATGCCTGTCTATTGGTATTGTTGTCCCATTCCCGCATTTATAAAATTTAATAATCTGCATTGGGTTACTGTATTTTCTCAACAACCATGGTTTGACACTTTCTGTTTGTTCACAGCAGTAGTGAAAGACATTCAATGGTGTTCTTTGTGAAAGGTGTGACATTAACTTTATTCTCTTCTTAAGGTTCATGTTTCTTGTCCCTGAACAAAAACATAGTACTTTACAATGTGTTTTTTACTTGTATGCTAGGATCAAAATTTCGTTTTAATGTATTATTTCGGTCACCTAGGAAACGGAAATGTTTCAGCGTGTTTCGAAAACGTTTCAATCTATTTCGGAAACATAATAAAAAAAATAAAAAATTTAAGAATTAAAACATTGATTGAAATATATCAAAATATTTTAAAATACTTTGAAACATTCTAAAACAATTGTGCAAATGCATTGAAATATTATAATACATTTTGAAACATTATGGAATATCTAGAAATATTAGAATTTCGATTCCTTCACTGATACGTTTTGATCTCCTTATAAACAGAAACGTTTCGGATATTTCGATCGTTTCGAAACGATATTTTGATACTTGCTCATCTGTGAATGTTTAGCATATATAATTCCCGGGGACATATACTGAACTATGACGGGGTCTAATCTCACTGATAAATTTGTTTGTATATATAGGTCCTTGGTGGAAAATCTTTGTGTATATGTCATAAGATAGGATGGGATCTAGGCAATGTGCTTCAGGGGTAGTGCAATTGATCATTTGGCCAACACAGCAATAAGAAATGGATTCTATGTTGGTAACAATGTGAAATGTTTTTGTTACAGATTCTATGTTGATAATCATATGAAACCTCATTTTTAGTTTATAGATCTACAAACTATTGGTGTATTAAAGTTTGAAAGGAGAAGGTTTATTGTGTCGACAACTACAGGTGGACTAAATATTTGTTCTTAATTTCTATATATTTGTTGGGATGTATGAGAGAATCAGCATCATGTACACTTAATAGTCAGAATTTTCTTTTTCTTTTTTATTTTTTTGGTTCAACGGCTTGAGGTATCCAAGTTAATTTACGCACATCTTGACTAATTCCCTCCTTGAAACGGTCCGGTCAAAGGTAGGTCATCTACACTAGAACTAGAATATTCATAAGGAATTTATTCGTCATGATCTAATTCTAAAGGATTGTCAATATTTGAACTCAAGACGTCTGAGTTTATAATGAGAATGTTCTTATAAACAGAGTTAAGTATACTTTTACAATATGGGACACAGTTGTACTGTCCAATTAACTTTGACCAGCAAGAACTTTACGATAATTTTGAGATTTTTCTACGAATCTTGGCGGTTACTACCAATTAATTTGACTTAAAGGGAAAAGTTTTGACTCTACAGATAAGATTTTAGCAATTTGATATGAATGTGTACAAGATTTGTTTTCTCAACAAAAAACATTAATACCCTTACAACAAAATGAACCAACTGGATTAATGAGCATTAAATAAGTTGGTTGTGTTACGTAATAAAGTTAGCAACTTTAGTTTAGCTTTTCAAACCATGTCAAAACAAGTTAATTACACAGAACACAGTTGGTTTTATATTTCAAAACAGAAAGGTAAGACTTTTTGAGTAGAGAACATTAGAGGTTAGCCATGGAGAGGAATGGTGTAAGGCTTGGGGCTGTAATGGTTACTCTGGTGGTGTTCATGCTAGCACAGAATGTCACAGCAGAGCCAGTGAAAGGGATATATACCTGTTGGGGAGGATGCTACAATCAGTGTGTTCTCCAAACTAAGACTCCATCACAGCGGTGGCCATGTTACAGCAAGTGCTTGAGCAACTGCATTCCTCGCTCTCCCTCGGATTATCGGTACTATTGTCAGATTGGTTGTTCATTCAGCTTGTGCACTCCAGTCAGCTATGGTACCTTGATCTCTCTCTCTCTCTCTCTCTCTCACGCGCATGTGCGAATGCATGCATGCATACATGCACACACACAAATACAGAGTCATGCGTGCATGGCTAACGATAAGCCTTTGACATGGGAAGGGGAAGGTGGGAAGGGATGGCACAGATGCCAAACAAACCTTACCCCTATCTATCGTCATAGAAGCAGTTCCTAGGAAAGATTATATGCTTAGATATCCAATCAATTTATCCCAAGGAGCTAAAAGTGGATGATTTTCTTCCATAACTGGCTTAGAAAGTTATTGGGTAAATTACACTTTATTCCCTTGAACTATTACATTTGTTTCATCAATTTTGTTTCACATCACTCCAATAGATAACGGCTATCAATTTTTCGATGGTAAATGCGTATGTGAGTGATCTAATAAGTAATTATCTATTACACATGTGCAGGTCAAAAATAAGAAAAATACTCATTCATGATTTCGCTTCCTTTTTAAAGCTCTAAATTTTATTCCTCTCTGCTTTAGACTTTTTTTTCTTTCCAACAACCATTTGGTTGTAAAAGAGGTAAAATAAAGTGGTTCTAGACATTTGGCAGGAAGTCCTTTAGGGTTTCCATCTTTTTTTTGACAGATTTTCGAGTTTGTCATTATCTATTAGAATGATATGAAACAAAATTGATATTTTAGGGTATAATGTGAAATTTATTATAATTGAGGGTATAAATTAAAACAAAGATAATAGTTCAAGAGGATTACGTGTAATTCACTCAAAGTTATTACCCATAAAAGATCTTTGCTTATGTTTGTAAATGGAAGGGCTGTTTTCTAAGATGGTTCATTTGCATTTTGTTTTTTATTTTCACCTGCAGATGGAGCAAGACTGGAAAGGTGCTTTGGCAATTGTGCCAATATTTGCAAGCCTTAAAAGGCTCTTAATGATGGTTTAAGCTGTAAAGCTTATCTATTTAAGCTTCATGTAATAAATGAGATTTGGTCTGTTTGGTTTGTCTTTGCTCTGAATCTATGTAAATGACAGATATGCTGTTATGTTATACTGGTTGCTCTTTTAATTTTCGTTCCTTTTCCTTGGTTTTCATTATCTGTCATTAATTAAAAAAAAAAAATCAGCATGACACCATGCTAGATATCTGCAGTAAATAGTCAACATAACACAATGGTAAATTATGTTTTTTCATTAACTATACAGAAAATGTGTGAGAACAATTGCTATGGGTACTCGCAGGGATGTCAATTTTATCCGTTAAACACAAATACAATATGAGTCCCACATAACAAGAATCTGAAAAATGACACTGCCCATTGTATTGCTGTCAAAACTTGATCCCGTAACCCGAAGGGATAGCTCAACTGGTAAGAGGAACGAGTTGTAAACTCAGACATTGTGAGTTCAAATCTTAGCAACTTTTTAGGGTCAGATCATGAAAGATTTATCCCTCATAAATACCATAATCCCGGTGTAGATGACCTACTTTTTACCAAACAGAGGAGAAGATTAGGTAAAATGCATGTAAGTTGGCCTAGAAAAAAAAAATGTAATTTATGTATTTATTTTTGAGCTTTGACCTAAAAAAAATTATGTGTTTTTAGCACCTTTATTAATGAACTAGTTATTGCTTGTGCTTGAAGACATAGAGTAATAAAAAAATTGTCAACAATAAATATATTTGTATTCATATCCAAAATTAAATCACAAATATAAAGGAGAGATAAATGAATTTAAGCATCGGTTGTAATAGGGGTGAGAGGTGGTGGACGGCAGTTGTGGTGGTAGGAGACGGTGATAATTGTGATGGGTGGCAATGACCGTGGTAGTGGTGGTAGCCGTGGATGACAACGGTGATGGTAGTAGTGATAGTCATGGGTGACGACAGTGGTGGTGGTGGGCGATGGTGATGGTTGTTGCCAGTCGTGGTGGTGGGCAACGACGGTGGCTTCTGGGAGACAGTATGATGAATGGTGTCGAATGGCGATGGTGGTAGGTGTGGTGGAGGTGGGTAACAGTGGTGGGCGGTGAAAGGAGGTGGTGGTAGGTGTAGTGGGGGTGGGTGATAGTGGTTGTTGACGACGGGTGGTTGTGGGCAATAATATGGTGGTGGTGAGATAATGGTGGTAGTGGTAATAAATATAAAAATGAGATGAAGATGGTGGTGAGTGGTGGCGGCGGTGTGGTGGTAGTGGTGATGGTCGTGGGAGTTGTGGCGGTAAGGGTGATGGTGGAACGACCACGGTGGTGGTAGTAGGAATGATGGTGGTGATGGTGATGGTGGTGGTGGTGGTTATGGTAGTGGTGGCAGTAGTAGCGATGGTGGTGGAAGGTAATGACGGTGGAGGTGGTATGGAGATAGTGGTGGTGATTATTGTGGTAGAGGCGGTAGTGATAATAGGGTGGCGGCAGCGGTGGTGGTCGTGATAGTTGTGATTGTGAAACTCAGGGAAATTTAAACTTTTTCTAACTCAGGTCAAAATGGTAATTTGTCACTATTATGCGAGTTTAAAATGCATATTTTATAGAGCTCGGATGGAACAACGGACTTCACCGTTGGATTCGTACTGCGAAATTGAGTAACCACGTCAAATTTCATCGAATTCAGAGATAGTCGAATTTTACATATTTTTCAAGACAATTGGGTGACAAATGAACTTTTAAAGATCCCCAAAAACGAAAATTATAAAATTTCTTTATAATTGAGTAAAAGTTCAAATAAAATTAATTTGAACTAAAATCAGAATTTAATGAAATCGGTTCGGGTTAAAAACGGACTCAGAAATAAGAAACGAGCGGGGCAATGTGGACCGCGGAATTAAAAGTATAAATAGGGTCTTAAATATCTGAAAATCAGATATTATTCTCACTTGTTCAGCACACCACACGTTGGAAGAGAGAGAAGAGAGGAAAAAAAATTGATTCTCAAGACTTTCTCCTTCGATCCGCCAAGTTCCGTCAGTCGGAATTGCTTGATTCAAGAATTAAAGTTGGTCTACGCGACGAGGGCTACGCGTACGTACCAAGAACGAAGATTTTCACCAAAGATTTAAAGACGAAGCTTTGGAAAAATCAAAGATTTTGGAGCTAGGAGGTGCCTAGAGGGTTCTACCTTTCTTTTACGCTTCAAGAGGTAGGAATTCTCATACTTGGGTTGATTTCTTACCTAGTTTGTATTAGGGAATGGGTAAAGATGTAGAACAACCTAGGTCTTTTGACTAAGGTTATGGAAATGGGTGTGGAATTTGGCCTTAGACCAATTCCTAGTTAAGTTCGGCATAGAAAATTACTTGTATGATTTCCTTGAAATTTGATATGCTTGGATATGCTATGTGTTCAAATGTGCCTTGAAATGATATGGGCAAATTGGTGTGATAATATGATTTGTGTGATAACATAAATTGTGCCTTGAAGGTGTTTGATAAAATGTCTTGAGTAATCTAATGTTGTTATTTTGATGTAAATAACATGTTTGAGTTGTTGCGATATGTTGATATATGCTTATTGGTGTGTTGAGCATAATAATTATTTATGGAATTTATATGCTTATGATATGAATTGCCATGGGATATGTGGATAAATTGCTCATTTGACATCCACTACATTTTGGGCATGAGGTTGCATCATATTCATGGGCTTAGGCATGAGTATGAGTGTGTATGCATGAAATAATCAATACCACTCTTGGTAATTGATATGTGGACTCGGAGATGTTGGATCGAAGATCCTTTAGAGTCGCATATTGCATAAGAAAAACTTGTGTCGGGTATAGCAAATAGGGCTAGACACTCCCTTAGGTAAAAAAACCCGGTCACTTGGTTCATATACTTCCCTGAGGTGAAATTCTGAAAAAGTGCAATGGCGTATGAAGCCAGCGGTGTGATTCCGGAATCCGATACCCAACAAAAACATGTTTTTGTTGTATAAAATGTTCATTGAATGGAAAACATCCAACAATGAAAGGATTTTCAAAGCATATGAATTGTATTTTAAAATGATCTTTGGATGTATTTCATCAAAGACAACGATTTTACACATATGCATCGCATTGTGTTGTGGGGGTCGGTGTGGACTCGGAGTAAGATGCGTGAGTGAGTTTTATCTCATTACATGGCATGACATCATGATTTTCCAACATTGAATCCTATGTTATTATTGAAATAGAATAATTGTTGTAACTTTTTGCATGTACTCATTGCATATGCATTCTAGGGGGAAAGTAGCTTTTGTAGGAAATTTTCTACTGGGCGTAGGCTCACCCTATACGGGAAATATTTCAGGTGCGGGATTCGTGCTGATGGATTCGAGGCCTCAAGGTTAAAGAAAAACCAGACTGTGGCTTTACGAAACAAGTTTTGTACAAAAAAAACTTAGGTGATATTCCATTTTGAATTGTAATTATATGGAATTAATTGTAATAGAACTTGTATAGATCATGTATAATGTAAAAAATGTTATTATACATGTTTGAAAAGGTTTTGAGTGGATTGGAAATGAAAAACTAAAGAGGCATAAAATTCTAGGCAAAACCTTCCAGAAGGTCACAACAACTTTTCGGAAGGTTAATGTAGACTTTTGGTTCAGTAGGCAAAACCTTGCGAATGGTTAGTGTAAATTGTATTCTAGTAGACAAAACCTTCTGAAAGGTCTATAAAACTTTCCGGAAGAACTTTTCCAGTGAGCAAAATTTTTTGGAAGGTTTTTCAAAAATTTTAAATTTTAAGAATGTATTGTCATGCTTTTGGGCTATGTGGTCTTTGGTTCCAATGACTCAAATGAATTTTAAATGAGATACATTGAGATATGTTGAACCTCAATGGGATTAAATAAATTAAAGGAAACATGGATCCACGCATGGATTGTAATCCCGGTTACAGGGATGTGATAGATGTGATATCGAGTTATACGACAATGACGGATATTTTCACGACGGATATTTTCGCGGGTTGACGAGAGGTCAACGGAACCCCCGATTTTAGGGACATCATAGTGATGATGGTGGTGGGACAGTGGGTGTGGTGGTGGTGGCGGCGTCAACAATGGTGGTGCTGGTGGGATAACGACGGTGATAGTAGTGGTGATGGCAGCGGGGGTGGGGGTGGGGGTAAGACGGTTTCAAACACTATTTTTTTGTTTGAAGTAGTTATATGAAGTTATAAGTTCTTGAAACATTTTTAAACAGTTCCCCCAAACACATCCTTAGGGGCTCATTTTTCCTATTAAATTTAAGGTGTTAATATTAGCCGTCAGATTAATTTTAAAGTAAAATTTAAAAAGATCTCAACTATAAAAAGCAAAAATCATTTTGTTTATCTTTTGAGATTTGAATTGTATTTTACTTTATTATATTTGAATGATGGAAGATGATATATAATCAAACAAATTTGACTTTCATGCGAAAAATTTAGAGGACCTTACAGTCTTCAGATATGTAATGTTTTTGATTGGTAATCAATTGCCTAGAAAGCAGAGATATAGGTATAAATACAAGCACAATATGATATAAATACGATAATATGATAAAATTTGAAAAAATAAAATACATATTAAAATATGTCTACAATAAAATATATTTAACAACTTAAAAATTGTAATTTTACATAATTATTTAATAATAGTAATTAAAATTAGCAATTTTTATTTTGGGAAAAAAATAATATCGTCTCATTATGATATGTCCATAAAGTGACTAGTGAGTATGACTAATTAAAAGAATTAAAACTAACATTTAAATAGATAGTTTGTTTACAAGTATTTGTTTCTAAGATTATAGTGTAACTAACTTATTTTTTATACTCTTTTGACATGTAATAGTATATAATATTTAAAAAACACTCGTGTCTTAAAAATTAAATATAATTTATTAATATTTTGTATTATATAAAAGGACATGATATAAATCAAAATTAAAAATTGTACATCTTACTCTATGTACAAAACTATTCGTAAAATATTCACATATTTTATTCATTATCGAATAAGTATAATAATACATATTCTCAAGTATTCGACGAGTATCGATTTCAATAAAATATCTCTGCTTCATAGCCAATTACAATTAATTTGGATGTACTTAAATTTGATCTAAACTTTATCTTTGTTCTGAATATAGGAAAATGAAGAATTATATTTTGCTGCATTGGTTGCTCTTTTGATTTCCTTTCCTTTTCCTTTTATTTCCTTGTTGTGTTTAATCTATAATATAAAATAAGGCATATTTCAATAAATTAATTCGATAGTCTCAAAAAAACTCATTCAACGGTCACCAATATCCCTCTCAAAATCATTCACATTGAAACGTGCCTTCAAATACGGGTTACCCTAGTCATCAACATAATAACATGCCAAGTATTTGTAATAAATAGTGAACAGAACACAAAGGAACATTGTTTTTTTTTCACAAAATATACCGAAGATGAGCCAAAACAATTGCAGTGGATAGAGGCATCAATTTTACCCATGTTAACACAAACACAACAAAAATTCGACAATGACACCTCCCATTAACACGAGTACTGATGGTCCTAGCTATGGGTTTCTATGCATCCACACAGTGGAAAAAGATTTGCCTTTATCCAATTTTCTCAGTATAAGAAGCAAGTGAGCAACCATCCCACAAACAAAGCCAAGTGCTGCACTGGAGCCCACAAGGGAAACAGCAGTGCACAGAAGCATCACAAAGGACTCATCTTTAGAGTTCATGTCCCTACAACACATTGCTAGCTCAATCCCAGCAAACAAAAGGAGAACCCCCAACACCCCAACAGGAAATTGGCTCAGAACCTTCACCAAAGAGCTACCTAAAACCAACCCCAAAACCAACTTCGCTGCACCAAGTAGTGCCACACAACCGCCACTCCTCCCACCAAACTTGTACTGCCCGGCGAGTCCTCCGGCGCCATGGCAGCATGGCATAGCCCCAAACCAGCACCCCACTAGGTTCATCAACCCCACAGTCACTGAAACTGAGGTAGCTGAAATGTCCTTCCTGGGAAAAAGATCTGTGGACAATTTACAGACAGCGATGACTGAATTCAAGATCGATAAGGGCAGTTGAGGGATTGTACCCTTTATGAACCCTTCCTTCCATGAATGCTTAGATATCTTCACAATTTCAATAGAAGATGGCCCAAATTTAAACCCATTGACCACTTTAGGCCTTCTTATAAAGGCTAAAACTACACCCAACAAAAAGATTATAAAAGCCGAAGGGAGAGAAGCTATGATTTTCATCAATCTTCTCTTCCTTCCAACCCTTTCTTCATCACCCAATTCATAGTTTCTATGTGTGTCCTCATCTTCATCACCTGCAACATTAACAATTATAATGAAAATAGCACAAACAAGGGCCAAAAGCAATCCATCCAACCCCAACCAATGCCTCTCCCCACTAGACTTGGACTTAGAAAAATTTTGAACATTTCTTATGTACTTCACTGCAGTCATTGCAAATGATAGGCCTTGTGCTAGCTGAATACCCCTAACAACAGACAGTGGGATAAACCTATACACCATCTGCATCAAACCTGTAACACCCAATACAAATAAGATCCCGGCGGTGAGAATTCCGGCGGCCATCGCCTCCGGGATCCCAAAATTCGGGTTTGATATTGCCACTGCAGCTATGGATTTCATGGGTTGGACAGGCATTGGGACACCATAGATTGCACCTGTGACAATATTGTAGACACCAGTGAAAATTAGTGTGGTGCCTAAGTTAAGGTCCTTGGCTAGTGTCAAGGCCAATACTATAGGAATGTATGTGCCTAAGTCCCCCATAGCACCGTTTAATTCAGCCCATTTTGACTTAAAAACCAGATTGTTCTTCACTTTTTGGAGGATGGTGGTGGGGAAGGAGTTGGGGATTTCCGGTGGGTTTTCAATGTTAGCAGAAAGTGGGTTATGGTGGGTTTGGGACTCCATCGTAGTGAACGGTGGTGGACAATGTGAAGAGAATGTTGTGCAATGGAGTTACTTATACAAGCAAGCTTTTGAGTGAAGTCAAATGGGGATTAGATTGCCTTTTGGAGTGATGAGAGGCCGTTTATAATAGAGGAATATGTGCAGCAAAATGTGGCGTAAGGCATCAAACTCCTAGTGATTGTATAACCAGCTGTCAACAGGGCCAGATCACAAGGGAATTCCAGTGGTTCACCCCATTGCAAACGGCGATCCACAAATTTGATACTAATAATTTAAGAATTAATAGGTGCGGATAATAAATGTCTAGACTCGTTAAATGTGTTAAATAAAAGGAAAAATTCAAATCAAACTAAATATGATATAAAGTAGTTAAACACGACTTAATGTTACAGTAATCCGACACATCATGAACTATACTATGCACGATTGTAAATAGATCTTGATATATACTAAAAAAAAAATATGTTGACACACGAAACAACTTAGACACAGCACTACCCTATACCCATTGCCCAATTTGAGAGAAGTTAATAGCAAAGTGGATGGAATTTTGCATTCCTAATCAAGTGACTGCTTATTTGTTGTTTCTTGTTGATTTTGTAGCATGGGTCATGCTAGAATTTCATTGGGAATGACTGTAAAAATGTCACCTGGGGGTGATCGCAACAAAAATCTTCTTGGGAATCTGATGAAGGGTGAGAATTAAATGTGACATTTATTTTTAGAGTTTTTTTTGGCCTTTTTCACTGCCGACCTGCGGAGACTAATAAAGAGTAATAATAGCTGTACTTAAAAATTAGACATGATAATCTCAACCATTGAATAGGTAGTGAGTCCTAATAAATACTGGGATCCACAGTAAAATCAATGGTTAAGATTATCAAGTCTAATTTTTAAGTTTATTTTTTAAGTTCGGATAGCATTACTCGACTAATAAATTCATAGAGAGGACCCCATTAACCAAAGCCAACTCTTTGGAAATGCTTTCTTACTGAAAAACATAAAAAACCTCTGGTGGAGCTATCAAGTAACATTGCTTTTGCAAAATCTGATGCCCTGACCTCCCATTTGAGTGTGTCACAGGTGGTCATTGGATTATAATTTATAATCCAAGTGAGTCAATTGTATAAACAATCAAAATTGACTTAGGTTTTATATTTATTAATCATTATGCTTGTACCTAACTTATATATGGAATAAAAGAATGTGCATCATTTAAAGAAAAATAGAATATAGTCCTAATTTGGGGATTGCGTAGATGATTGGTTCTGTTTGCTAACCAAGTGCAATTAAATTATAATATACTTATTAATCTTTTAATCAAGACCAATCATTTTTTTTAAAAATTATAAAAAAAAATCAAAACAACGTCATTGAGGGGTTTAGCTGGGTTTTTTTTTTCAAAAAATAAGGAAAAATTTAAGAGAATTTAATAGTTGAATGGATTCAATTCTAAATTCCTTACCACCGAGGTGGTAGCCTAGTTGACTTCAATAAAGGGTGAAAGTCCCACTTTTCTCTAGTGGTAATGTGTTAGAACTCACTTATGATAATAATTTTTGTGAATCATATATTGTTGGAGGAGTTGAATGTCCAACTTGTCCTCGGTGGTACTGTAGTAACAAGTTCGACCATCCCACATCAATAGCTATGACTCTAACCAAAATATTCGACAACATATGAGAATCTCAAAGTAACGTCCTGAGTGCTGCTACGCCTAGTCGGCCCTAAATACCCTTTTAACCAGCAAAAAAATTGCTTGTTCCTTGTTTGTGTTCTTTATTTATTTAGCATGGGCCATGCTGGAATTTCATTGGGAAGGAATGCAGAAATGTCACCCGAGGGTGAGTGAAACTAACTCTTCTTGGGAATCTGATGAAGGGTGAGAATTAAATGTGCCATTTATTATAGAGCTTTTTGGCCTTTTTCACTGCCCACCTGTGGAGAATAATAAATAGGGAGAAGACTACAAAATTTTTTGAATTGTTTTATAAATTTTGAGAATTATGTATAATTTTTTAGGACCATTTATAATTTTTTATGTTAAAATTATTAGAATTAATTTCAAAGTAACTTTAAAAACTATAAATGATTCCCGAAATATTGTAACTTAAAAGCATAAAAGTTGTAAATGTTGTTTGTTGTAAACCCAACCCAAATGAGGCTGGGCATGTCAGGGGAAAATGATCCAAGGATAAGCCCAACCCATCCATAATAAAAGGCTTGAGGGAGGACAAAAGAGAGAATTACTTAGCTCAATCTTTTCCGGAGCTACGTCACAGGTTAGGGAGTACAGTCTCTAACGGTTAAATATTCTCTTATGCAATCCTAATAAACAAGGGACCACCCCATAATGACGGGGAACCATTCTAGACTAGGGGGTATAGAAGCAACCCTTGTCATCTAAGAAAAGAGAGAATCAATTATATTCACCGAGAATTGTAATCGCCTCTTTATTCTTTTCCGAGCAATATAAACTAATGAGTAAGAGACTAGATTATACCCCTTCATCTTTGTGAGCCACTTATTTACCCCACCTCTTTGATTTTTTTTAATTCTCTTAAATTCATACTTACCCACTTACGTCACAGAAGAGCTCTTCAGCTTTCCTACCTCACACTTCACAGTTTTTTTTTTTTTTTTGCATAATCACTAACCAAGTGCAATTAAATTATGATGCACTGATTATTCTTTTAATCAAGATTAATCCTTCTGTTCAAAAATTATAGAAAAGAACAAAACTAGTCATTGTGGGCTTTAGAGTTCAGCAAAACTTGTTCAAAAGTACACGTTAAGTCACAATTTTTTAGGATAAATGAGATCGACCTTAAAATTGTTTAGGATTGATCCTAACAATTTTGTGATCAATCTCAAATACCCTAAAAAATTATAAAGGATAAATTATAATGACATCTCCAGTAGATTGGTATAATTAAAAAGACACCCTTGTATAACCTGAAATATCAATGCCCTACCTTGTATTTATATGTTCATTTCACATACCACCCCTGCCATTAGAACCGTTATTGACATGTTTAAAAGTGATTGTGTAAGTAAATATGTCTTCTATAATATCTATTTTACCCTCCACTAAAAACTTTCAAACACCTCCTCTTTCTTCTTCATTCTTTTCTATTTATTTTTTCTTACAAACCACAAATCCATCAACACCACTTCAATTACCACCCCTTCCGCCACCAAAGGCTCAATCAGCCACCATCATCAAAAACATTAACCCAAACTTGAAGTAATACACACATTCAAAAGATTAATACTAGTTAAAGTAGTAAATTATAAGAAATTTAAACTAAGCTAAAATTTTAACTCTATTCTCATTCAAGAACACCTATTTCAATTTGGCTTATGTTCAATCATGACTAATCAAAACGATTATTCAACTGAAAATAAAAAAGAAAAATCATATTCAGCCCAATACATAACACAATTCAACTGAAAATCAAGAAAAAAGAATCCCAATGTAACCAAAATTTTATTTGAATCACTTTAAATCAAACTAGTTACAATCGAAATCAACCAATTCATTCACCTACAAAATCAAAAAATATTTATCAAATTCAACCATCGCCCATAAAAATTGTACAAAAAACCCTCATAAAACAATATAGTTTGGTGTAAAATGAAATTATTTAATTAACAAAATTTCTACCATTGATTTTCTAACAACAAAGAATCCTCACTTGTAGGGATGTCAGTGGACCGAAGCGAGGATGGGGTTGTAGTCTCCATCCTCGTACCCGCTTAAAAAAATTCCGTCTATCCCTAGTCCACCTCCGTTAACGAGTATAGTTTTCATTCTCATCCCCGGTCCACCTCCGTTAGTGAGTATAGTTTTCATTCCCATTTCCGTCTACGGATAAATTTCTAATCTCCGTCCCCGTCTCCACTTTCCAAGTCCAAGCCTAAGTTCAAGTCAACATAATCCAAAATAATAAATAAAACAAATCTACAATCATTATGGAATACCTTATTAAATTGAAATTTCCATAGGAAGACATTCTGATATATTAAATGAATTCAAGATTCAACAAGAGACTGATTAATGTAATGTGGTTTAACAACTCTTTATCATTGTTAATACAAACATGAAGATTAACAGTAAAGGAATGCAGCCATTAGTTTGTCACAACACTTCCCTCTCCCCCTTCTCCCCCCCCCCCCCCCCCCCCCCCCCCAACAAAAAAAAATTAGTTTGCCACAACACTTAGTTACCCATGGCAATCAGAAACCGTATGGCAATCAGAATGTACAAATACTGATATTCCTCAAGTTGCTCTTCCTTACCTCCTTAATTAGAATATCAGTATGAAGTAGCTGAATATCATCTAACCCCTTTTTACCCATGTCGTTTTGTGATGGTGGAATACCCTTTCTGGATTGACCTTTTGTCACCCCCTACCTCTTCCTGCATCTGGAACACTATCACGCCCTACAGATCTATTCACCCACAGCCTAATCTGCCATAACCTCTGATGGGACATTTTCGGAATACTCAAAGATGAAAACACGTGTCTTCGGTGTCACTGATCCTTGTTATCGAAATCACGTACTCATCGGGTCAAAAGTCCCCTCTACCCCGAGGTACTTATCATGGATCGAGTGGCATCCAGTACGATTATATGTGCCGACACATGCCCTCGGTCTGATATGGTACATCGGTCGCTAGGCCTCTCCCTCTCAGTTCCGAGATGTACCTCTTCCTCAGTTCCGAGATGTACCTCTTCCTCGGCTCTGAGATGTACCTCTTCCTCGGTACCGAGATATACCCCTCTCATCCAGGATGAAGTTCTCTGCTCCAGGAGAGACTATTGATGCACTGGTCACTAACCTAGGCTAGGCTAGGTTAGCTATCATGACCTCGTCTTACACAATTGGTGTCAGAAGGCACAGAAAAGCAGGGGCCACAGCCAATGAGGAATGGACACGTGGTATATTGTGTCACATCAGAGACAGAAAAACCGCATGACCTTGCTGACACGCGA